TAAGTGAAGATGTCATACCCATGCTGTCATGGCAAAGCACGAAGTATGAAATTAAAGGGAGAGAAAGAGACTAGACCCACGACATCTAATCCACCAAGTATGAGTGGGAGATATAGGAAAATAGGCCAATCCACCCTTGGTGGATTAGACCCAAGTCCATTTAAACTTGGGGTTTTGGCATAAATAACATAACATGTGGGTCAGGAACTACGATTTACTCTTTTTTTTTTTGTTTAAACTGAGGCGGGAACAGTTACAGGGATAGGAATATGGAGGTAGTTTCTCCCTAATGGATATAAGTGAGAAAACTACCGCACGAAGTAGTCTCCTTCCCTCTCTCGGTCCCTTGTGCATTTGCTGCGAAACACAATTTTGACTCCATCATTGTGACCGGACCTCTGTGCGGCTATCTATATTTTATCCAATCTCCAGGTATGCCCCAAACTCTACAAAAATTAAAAATGGTAAATTATGCCCAACCACACTAAAATTAAATTAGCTATTATAGGATAATAAAAAAAACTCAATTAAAATAGTAATTACATCGTATTTTTTTAAATATATCATTCTATCTATCAAACTGAGTGACAGAACAATAATTACATCGTATTTTTATTAAATAATAATTACATAGTATGTTTTAAATGCATTGTATTTTTTTAAATATATCATTCTGCTATTTATTTTGAATTTAAACAACTTAAATAAATGTATTGGAAAATTTAGTATTTTACATTTTTTATTTTGTATCCAGCACAACTAACCGTTCTTTTCATTAAAATAATATGACGTACAAATATTATATTATGTTATATTATATATTATATTGTCATCAGGCTATTTCTATCATATAATATATCACATTTTTATACGGTTTTCACATTATATAATTTTTTTGTGTGCAGAGTTCTGTTGTATCATGTAATTATATCATATAATTTTCTGATTTAGATGACCAGCTGTTATCACTTATCAGCCTCACACGATCCAACTTTGGTTTAAATATTACCACTATACCTCTGGAATGAAATTGATTAAATTGAGAAATAATATAATATATTGTAACATCCTAAATTTTGAGCCTACGAATGTAGGAAATAGTCTAAAATGAGCAAGTTACTGAGTCCTTATGAGCTGAAATTCGGAAAATGTAAAAGGAAGGTTAAAGGGTTTTCAAGGACTAAATTGCAAATTGAGCAAGTTCTGAAGACTAAAATATAAATAAAGTTAGAGACTTTAGTGAAATCTTGAGGCCCAGGAATGAGAAATAAAGATAAATATGAGCCAAATGTTATGTTAAAGGCCTCAATGAGGTGAATTATGGGGTTAAGCTAAACCATGGGTAAAATTGCAATTTTATAAAGTTTCAGGTCAGAAAAGACAAAGATGGAAATTATTCCTGAAAATTCTAGAAAAATTGCAGCAAAATGGGAAATGGCATGTTAAGGCCTGTATCCAAAGAAAAATTACGAAAATGCCTTTGAATTGACTTTAAATGAATTTTAAAAATTATGGTACTTTTTGAGGTATACAGTTAGATTTAATTGTTTGAGCCATAAGGAGACCTTAGAAAATTAAGTAATAATAGGGATTCGTGAGTTAAGAGGCTACAAAAAATTGTAAAATTAGTCTCATCTTCAGAAGGGCAGCAGAATGGCTTTAAGAATATTTAAAAGCCAGTTATGCTACTTAAGGATACTTTACAGGAAATTTTAAAAAAAAACCTACTGGTTGAGTTATGGTTTGAAAAAATTCACAGATTTTCTCCAAAATTAAAAGAAGTTTATGGTATGGATAGATAAATTTTTGAAGCCTTGGATTGAATAAAATGCTCCAATCAAATATTAAATAATTTTGTCCCCCTAAATAGGAGACAAAAAAATAAGAATGCATTAATGAGGAGCTGAGTCGGCATGCTGAGTCACCAAAACGCATTTATGACGCCGTTGAGTCATCTACTGAGTCAGCGAGAGATATTTAATCATGTGAGTGTGTTGCGGTCTTCATTGACGATCATGTGAGAGAATGTGTGATGTGATTAACGATCACGGGGTCTAAGACTGGTCCCTTAGTGTTGTGTGGGAAGATAAAAGGGAGAATTACAATGAGGTTCCAATGAAGAAAAGTAATTATAAAAAAATCCCAATAGCAACCTTTGCAATTTGTAATGACAAGCTCTAGAGTAAAAAAATTACAACTTTTGGGATTTATTTTGTAATTATTTTTTTCCTTGAAACCTCATTGTAATTCACCCAAGATAAAATGGCAGAATAATCGTGTTCATTGAGGGTAATTTAAAAATATGATGTTAGCAAAAAAAATCTTTTTTTCTATAATGTTTTAATTGGAGAATAGTTGTAATGTTGAGAAAGTGTTTCAACTGAGAGAAATTCTTGCTTGGTACTAGTGTGCCAACTCATACGCGGTCTGCCCAATAAAAATGTTCCGATTCATATCATTTTAATCTACACAGGAAGCCTACTATTTGCAGTAATCTGTTTTTCCTTTTAAAAAATATAAATGTCTAGGGCTTCCTAATGTTCTTTTCTGCCCGTCTTTGCCCTTTCTCAGATCCCCTTGCCTCTCTCTTCATTTGATCATAGACTCTCTCTCTCTGCCCCCTTTTCTTTTCTTCAAGTACCTAGCATCTAATCGCTGCTAATCTCTCCCAACTATGGTTGAGGGGATGAAAATGCACCTGAAAAAAAAAAAAAGCACTATTATAGTGCGTCCTTCACCTCCTCAATTTCTTCTATCAAATGCTAGTGACAATAGTGGCACATCCTTTATCACCCTGTTAAACAAAAATATGCACTTTTTCATTCTCTTATTAACTTGCGTGCCATTGTCAAGAGGAATCTAGGGAAATTGGTATGCATTTATTCTCTCATTAAGGAGTGAAATAAAAAAAAAAATCCTTTATGAGTCAATTAGCTGTCATTCTTGATAAAATAATCAAACATATAATGAATTCCTCTTTTCAAATAGAGTAAAAAAAGCTCATTTGTTCCTGCTGCTGTTTTTCTAACCGATTCATTTTATAATTTTTAGCTATTTTCAAATTGAGTAAAAAAGTTTTATATGATTGCTTTAATCTAAATAAATGAAAAGTTCTATTTTATCATTTTGATGCAGAGCCCCATAGATTATCATATCAACTAAGTTTTTCATAGTACAGGATGATGGAGGAACCGTGGAAGAGTTATGAATGAGAAGAAAATTGAGACCAAAACTTTCTTTTAATGATATCATAGTCATTATCTCCATCACCATCATCGTCGGTTGAGAAGAAGAGGTGAGATGAAGGATACCATGGGCTTCTATAGTGCTTTCTTCTTCAGTGATTTTTAACCTTTTCACCTTGTGCTTCGACAGTGCTTGCTTCTCTGGTATGGCGGTACTTGAAGAAACGCCGTTCATGAAGGAAGAAGAGAGGGAGAGTCTAACATGAGAGAAGCAAGAGCTGAGAGGGTGTGAAAAAGATCGAAAGAGGAAAGACAGGGGCAAAAGAGGAAATTGGAAGCCCTAGACATTTTTAATTTTCAAAAAACAAAATATTATTAGAAATTAGTAGGCTGCCATGTAGATTAAAATAATATGAGTTGGAGCATTTTTATTGGGCAGACCACAGATAAATTGGTGCACCCTGCAAGAGTTTCTCCACTCTGTTATTATATGAGACTTTTATATGAGTTGAGATTCACTGTTTTTTTGACAGTTTGTTAATATTATTATTTATATTAATTTTTGCATCACTTGATTTTGCAATGATGATGCATTACATTAAAAATATTCATATTGTTAAAAGAATTGACGGGTGATAAGTGTTGCTTTATTGTTGTTGTTGTTACTATTAATTAATATTATTGCTATTGTTCTTTCAGTTTTTTTATTATGCATGTTTATATTATCATTATTATTAATATTAATTTTTACATCAATTGATTTTACAACGGTGATCTATCATTTTAAAAATATTAGTGTTGTTAAAAAAATTGACTAGTGATAAGTTTTGCTTCATTTTCATTATTGTTGTTGTTGCTATTGTTGTTATTTCTTTTTTCTTATTATGCATGTTTGTAGCATAGTATGATAAGATTTAATAATTTATTTAGTAAGATGGGTTAAATGTGTCACTTGATTCATATAATATGATGACTAGTTAGAAGGAAGATTTATCTTGAATTACACAATTTTACTAGTGTTTGTAACTGGTCCTTTACTAAATTGTTTGAGTAACTTATAAGTGCAGATACCACGTACTTGAAGAGGCAACATGAGTTAATAAAAAATTAAGTTAGGAGGGATTAGATATGCTATGGCTGATATGTATAGGTCAATTTAGAACATTCGAGGCAATATGCAAAAGCCATAATTTCCAGAAACTAGGAAGTAGACTTTCAAGTGATTGAGCACGACCCCAACACGTTGGCAGATTCACTTGCCAAACAAGCACTGAACTCAACCTGCGGATTTGCAAATATACCTGACGAAGGTCCTCATGGAGCCTTCTTGCTTTGGACACGAGCACTGAATCCTTTTTTGGTCTTTTCTTTTTCATTGTATCAAAAAAACAAAAAATCAGCTACTTTCGTTTTTTTCGCCAACATCAACTACTCTTTCCCTACTTAGGCTATTTATAATTATTGTTATTTTTCAAGAAATTTTGATAGTTTTATAAATTTTTTGACTTTTGACAATTTTATATATAATTTAGCTACTGCAAGTTTTTGCAGCATTAGTTCACTAATAAATTATCACCTCTTCTAAGTTTTCAATTTAACAACTAAATTATTTTGATTCAGCTATTTAACGATTGATAATTAATTATTATTTATTTTTAAAAAATTATAAATAAATTTTATCCCATGAAAATATTTGTATAATTGAATAAGAGAAACTATTATATTGAAATTGTCAAAATAGGTCAACATTAAACCCAGGAAAACCCCGTCGGTCCAAAGGAAAAACCCCCGAAAACTATTTGAAGCCCCTCTTCATTCCACCCTCCCTGTGCTTCCATTTGAAAATGCAGCAAAGTTGATAAGGCAACACCGACCCGGAGAACTTCAGAGAAATGGCGAACCTAAGGACCGCAATGGACTCTGCCTTCTGGGATCTCAACGTTTCTTCTCCTCGAACCATTGATGGGTGTGCCAAGGCCGTTCCCGGCGACCCCTTTCCAATGGACGCTACCGTCTCAAGCAAAGCTCTTCGTATTCAGCAGTTCTCATGCTTCAGAAATGGCTTTCCTTTGGGGATAGTTCCTTGCCTCTCTCCCACTTCTCAAAAGAGCCTTGGTTCCTTATCTCTTCAGTCTCTCGCACTTAAAGTCTCCAATCATCCCTGGTAATTTGTGCACTTAGTTTTTGTTCCTGTTTTAGAAAATTCTCGTTTCTTATTCTGCTTTGAAGCTATAGCGTTTTTCCCTTTCATTTTTATATATATATATTTTCCTTTCTAATGTCTATTCTGAAGAAAATTAGAAAGCCAATTTGTTCCTGCTTCTTCTTTAGTAGGAAAAAGACTTGTTTTTTTTTTTTTTTGTTCAGTTTCTTATATCTGGCATTCTTATTCAATTCGCTATTAGCTTATGCTTTGTCAACAATGTGCCGCCCAATTACTGAGTTCTTATTCAATTCAGATTGAATTTCAGTTACGAATAATTATTGCTCGCCGAATCATTGAGTGAATCATAGCAACCTTTTATATTGGCTCCTTTACATTAGAAAACCTCCCTTTCCCTTAAGACCTTAACTCATTCGGCCAAATTAAGCAATCTCATATTCAAGTCGTATTATGTGTACCTCACTCCCTTACTTTTCAATGGCATGTTGCCAGAACCAACCCTACATGTTGCTTTAAATTTGGTTTCACTGAAGAAAATTGAGACCAATGGTGTCAAAATTTAATCAAATTCTATCTGGATTGACGTTATTTGCTCTTGAACTTAAGCATACATTTGACTTCTTAGACTTGCTATTTCATATTTAGTTCTGTTGTGGGCAAAGAGAAACGTTAGTTATGCTTCTTTTTAACCTATCTCTAAAGTTAATCCCCTAGGTTCTGGTAAAAAAAAAAAAAATCACCTAGGTCACATTGATTTCTGTTCTTAAAGCTATCCTCTGTTTTTCATCCTACCTCTCTATTTCTCTTAGTCCTCCATGCGTCAGTTTTTCCCCCTCTATTATACTGAGCATTGAGTGGAGCAAATTGTGTTTTTTACTTATTGCAGTTCTCTACACTGTGAAAAGTTTTCCCCATTGATGTTAGTTGAATTTTCCCATGAATTCTTTTTGTTTATTTTAACTTCCTAATTGATTTATACAGGTTGAGTACTTGTATTCTACTTTCATCTTTTCAATTATGAGCCCATGAACTTGTCCATACAATGAATTCTCAAAGGTCCTTTAAAATATGATCTGTGCATCTAAATGTGAAGCTTGATGGAGCTCCTGGACTTTGGATTTCTGAACATATACTATAGTCTCATTCTTCATCTGGGTAATGGGTGCTTTGAGACTCTAGGATCATAGGCTCCCCGGCTATAGGTGATCATGATTAAAAATGGACAGTTTAATGATATATAGCATCATTATGATATCCCAAGGCTTTAATGTTCTTATACATGCTTTTACATGACAATTTTGAATATAGGTGGCTTGGGCTGATTGGACAGTTCCGTCCCAGGAAATTGTTTGCTGACATCAAGAATGAAATCTCTAATGCTGAAGAATTCGAGCTCTCCACAGTCAAGGATGTCGCAAAGCATTTTATTGACAAGTCACTCTTTTCATTTGGATTATTCTCACAGTATTCTGTTTCTGACTCTACATCCATTCTACTTTCCATGGAGGGTCATGGTGAGAAAAAAAGAGGTCGCAACAAAATGATGATTTACCACCAGGCATGAATTTCAATTTCTTGTCTTTTTTTTATTTTTTATTTTCCTTGTTTTGATGGTTGAACATATAAGGTATCCTACATGATTCTCATTTGTTGATTATTATTTTTTCTTGTTAATTTATAAATGATTTCCCTTCCTTTATGCAATTGGATTGTGCTGACTACTGCCTTGTTTCTTAGGACAGTTTTTATGTTAAAACCTTTTATATTAATGTGAAATTTTTCTTTCATAAAAAAATCTATACTGTACTATTTTGTGGGAGTTTTTGTGAACAAAGTGTGCAAAGCAGTCAAGAAGTTAATTGAAATTGAATTTAAATAAATTTAGATATTTTTGTTTGATTCCATTTTGGTGTTTTGTTGCCCTTTTGTCTAAAATTGTCATTTTGATTTCATAAAATTTTTGAAAGGAAGGCTTAGGCTCTTGGGTTTTCTGCGCTGTAATCGTCCTTGTCAATTGTCAATTATTTAATCTATAAACGCTCTTCAGACAGATTAATTCTCCTTTATAAACCTCTTTGAAAATTTCAAGTTCCCTTTGAGAAACATTTTTTCATATCAATTTTTAATAGTTTAATGCTATTAAGTATTAATACACTTCCAGCTTGTTGAATTTTACAAATCTGTTTTTCCTTGCGTGTCTGGTTTGTGTCCAAGTTGAGCTCCTTCTATCTTTAAAAACCCTGTTGAATATTTTTCTGAATGTTGAGCATATTCTTAGAATGTGGAATAGAATATGGTAGCTGTGATATTAATGCTAATCTTTTGCATATTTCGTTATAATAGATCTCTTGAATTTTCAAGTAGACATTTTGTAAGTTATTAGCTCTATGTAATTATTATTTGTGATCATCGTCTCTTGTTTTAAGGGACTCTCCTTCCCACATCTATGGAGCAATTGAAAAGTATTACTGAATTGATAAGTTCATCTTGTTATGTATTGATTCTGGGACCCTGTTTAGGATATTCTATTTTATCTTCTTTCTTTCTTTTTTTTTTTTTTGGGTTCATTCCTTCACACATAATGAAACTATCTTCTAGGGAAAATTAAAAAGCAAAATCATGGCGAGTAATCCCTTGATATTAGTGTAGATGTTATTTTGATGGGCCTAAGAAATGTTGGTGTTGAACTTACAAGTGGAGAACTAAGAGAGAAGAGCCCAGCCCAGATCAAAATGCACCAAAGGAAGAAGGGCAGAATGGTAATAACATGGGGAGTAGTGCAGGTTAATGATCTATTAACAGTGTCAGGTAGTGGGAGTGCGTTTAAGCTATATAGGGCAACTTCGTAGAGGGACAATTGAGGATTGTGTGAGGAAAGGGGCTTTGGTCTCTTGAATACCAGACCAAGAGTGTCTTGTTCTTTTTTTTTTTTTTTCCCTTGTTGTTTTCCAGTTCTTTGTGGGAGCCTTTCTCCTAAAAGGAGGCGATATACAGCTAGAGAAGGTTGTTGAAGAGGTACAAAGGAGGCAAGTAGAGATGACAGAGAAGCTTATTGGAATGGATACCATCGAATCGCATTTTGGAGCAACTTAACGAGTTTCTTACTGCTTTTATGGTTGCCAATCAGGAAAGACCTCAAACGAAAGATGAACCAGAGATGCACGGCACTAGGGTACATGAGGAAACAGGGCAGAATGATGCCTCTGAGTACCGAAAATTGGAACTGCTTATCTTTTCTAGAGAAGACCCACTTCGTTGGATATTTTGGGTAGAGCACTACTTTACAGTTAGTGGGGTAATTGAACTAGAGAGGCTTGACGTGGAGGCTGTTAGCTTGGAGGGCAAAGCTCTTGTGTGGTTTCAATGGCTCAAGTCTGGTTCACCTGTTGGGTCATGGCGCAAGTTCAAGAAGGAATTGATTGATCGATTCCACTATCATCAAAGAGGAGATGAATATGAGCAGCTGTTAGCCCTCAAGCAAGAAGGGACGGTCGTGGAATTCAAAGAGCATTTTGAAAGGTTGTCCGCACCATTAGAAGATGTGCAAGATGATCTATTGATGGGGGTGTTCATAGATAGCCTCAAGGAAGAAATCTGCTATGATGCTAAACTGATGTGTCCTTAGAACCTGAAACAATTGATGAATCTCGCTAGCAACGTGGAGTGTAGGAACTGAGTGAAAGAGAAATTAGAAGAGAAGAGAAGTAAGTCGATGAAGAGCAACATAGGTAGGTGATGGAATGATTTTAAACCCATGATTCCCAAATTCAATACAGTGGAGACATTAAAGAGTTTTGGGTGGCCGGTGATCACTAAAGAAGCCATAACCAAAGTGTCTGAAGATGCCAAGAAAAATTTCTGTGCGAATGCTGACCTCAAATTTGTCAGCCATGAGCAGTTAGGGTAGCAGTGCAACGAGGAAGAGGTTATCGAAAGCAGAGATAAACAGGAGAAGAGAATTGGGCCTATGTTTCAATTTGGAAGCCTAACCACAAGTGCAAAAATAAACTACTCCAGTTGATTATCCTAGAAGAGGATGAAGAAAGCCCAAACCATAATTATGACAAGGCCTAGCACGCAAATAAGAACCCAAAAGAAAAGACATGGCTTCTCTGGAATTATCCATGACCACAGCAATCAGGCTCACAGGAAAAAGGACTCTTAAGATGACAGGGGTCAGTCACGGGAAACAAGTACTTGTGTTAATTGACTGTGGAGCCATACAACTGGCAAACTTACTAGTAGCAGTGCTTGGAATCGCAACATGTTGCATGCAACCCTACTCCATCACTATAAGAGAATGACAAAAAACCACCTCCGATGTAAAGTGTCTAGAGATCAGGCTAGAAATCTAGGGCTTGGAAATAAACCAACCCTTCTCCCCCTTTAACCTAGGCAATGTCGATTTAGTCCTTGGAGTTGAATGGTTGGAATCATTGGGAGAAACCCAAATCAATTGGCGACAACTGTATATGAAGGTTAGGGTAGATTGACGCTAGGTGTGTCTCCAAAGAGATCTAGCGTATACTCAGACTTCAGCAACTCTCAAGGTCTTGGAGCATAATGAAGAGATGGAGCAATCTCTAAATGATGAAGAGATGGAAAATATCCTCTGTGAGTTCCCAGAAGTTCGTGTGCCTATAAAGGTTCTTCCCTTATAGAGAACTCAGGACCATGCCATCAAAATCAAAGAAGGGGCTTAGCTCACAAACCTTCGGCCGTATCGCTATAGGCATGCTTCGAAAACAGGGATTAAGAAATTAGTCAAAGAGGTGCTCCAAGCAGGCATAATTCAACCCAGCGCCAGCCCATGTTCGAGCTCGCTGCTGCTGGCTAAGAAAAAAGACGGGAGCTGGTGATTTTACGTAGATTATCAAGCCCAGAATCAGACCACTATACCTGACAAATACCTCATAACAGCCATCGGTGAGCTGTTGGATGAGCTTGAAGGAGCAACTATATTTTCCAAGTTAGATCTCAAGTCGGGCTATCACCAGATTCTGATTAAGGAAAGAGATGAAGTGAAGACTGCCTTTCAAACTCATGATGGGCATTACGAATTCAAAAGTGATGCCATTCGGTTTGACAAATGCTCCCTCTACTTTTTAGTCTCTTATAAATGATTTTTTTAAAGAACTTTTAAGAGAATTTATTCTTGTATTTTTTTGATGATATCCTTGTTTATAATAAAGACAGGAAATCATATAAGGAGCACTTTAAGATGGCTCTGACATTGCTTAAGCAGAACCAAATGGTGGTCAACTGTAAGAATTGTGTTCTGGGTCAAACTTAAATTGAATACTTTAGGCACTTAATATTTGCTGAAGCAGTCAAAGCTGATCCAATAAAAATTACAGCAATGGCATAGTGGACAACACCAACTAACCTAAGGGCATTACGTGGCTTTCTAGGTTTGATAGGTTATTACTGAAAGTTTGTGAAAGGGTATGGCAAAATTGCCGCCCCTTTAACTCAACTGCTAAAGAAGGATTCTTTCAAATAGGATGATAAGGCCTCAAATCTGCCACGACAATCCTCCTCATGCTTACTGTAGCCGATTTTAACTCTCCCGTTGAAATAGAAGCGGATGCATCCGAAAAAGGGATAGGGGCAGTCTTAATGCAGATGGGGCATTTGATTACTTTCTTAAGTCAGAAATTGTCTAAGAGGCACCCCAATGCTCAGTCTGAGAGAGAGCTTATGGCTATTGTATATGCTGTGAAAAAGTGGCAACATTATCTAACTAGTTACCCTTTTGTCATCAAAACGGACCAGAAGGCTCCTAAGTATCTTTTGGAATAGTGAATAGTTGCTCCGGATCAAAAGAAGTGGGTCGCTATGCTGATGGGTTACAGGTTTCAGATTCAATATAAACCAGGCAGAGCAAACAAGGTGGCAGATGTCTTATCAAGACAAGAAACTGATCTAGAAATGTGTGTTGTTTCCTTACGACAGTATGAGGGTGTAGCTGAACTAGAGCAAGAAATTGCTCAAGACGCAGGTTTAAAGGAAATGACGTAGCAGCTAATTCAAGGCAAAGAGGGCCCAAAAGGGAACACTTCGAAAAAGGGAGTGTTATTCTATAAAGGCATATTAGTATTACCCATAAACTCTACAAAGGTGAAAGAGCTCGTTCAAGAATTCCATGACTCTCCTATGGAAGGGCATTCGGGCTACTTAAGGACTTACAAGAGGCTGTCAGCAATGGTGTACTAGGCAGGAGTGAGAAAGGATATACAAGATTATGTAGCTTAATGTGATGTATGCCAAAGGAACAAGTACCAAGCTTTAAGTCCCGCAGGGTTATTGCAGCCATTACCTATACCAAAAGCTGTTTGGGAGGATATAAGTATGGATTTCATTGGGGGATTACCTACAAGCCACTGATATGAAATTGTGTTGGTGGTGGTTGATAGACTCACAAAGTATGCCCACTTTCCTTCTCACACCCTTATGATGCTAAGGCTGTGACAGAAGCTTCTACGAGGGAGATTATAAACTCTATGGCTTTCCAAGCACAAATGTATCTAATCAAGACCGTGTCTTTATTAGTCAATTTTTGAAGAAGCCTTTTAACATGGCGAGAACTACTCTCAAGTACAACTTATCTTGCCATCCGAAAACGGTTGGGCAAACAGAAGTGGTCAATCGAAGTTTGGAAACCTATTTGTGGTGCCTTGCTGGTAGTACTCCTAGGAAGTGGTCTAAGATGCTATCATGGGCGGAATATTGGAACAATACCACCTATCACAGTGTCACGGGTATGATACCTTTTAAAGCTCTGTATAGGAGAGATCCTCCTACTGTTCTCAAATGGGCAGATCAACCATCAAGGATGCAGGAGGTTGAGAAGGAGCTGCAAGAGCAAAATCAAGTGTTGGATGAGTTGAAAGTGATAAGCACCGAAGAGAGATTGAGTTTCAGGTAGGTGAATTAGTTTGCCTGAAAATTAAGCCCTATAGATTTAATTCACTTGCTAATAAGCCCAATGAGAAGCTTGCTCTGAGGTATTATGGCCCATATACTATCTTGGAAAAGATTGGAAAGGTGGCATACCGGCTGCAGTACCTTCCACAGCAAGAATTCATAATGTGTATCACGTTTCACATGTTAAAAAAGCCCTCAAGAGTTCTGTCATTGCTCAACCACTTCCAAAAGGACTAATTGAAGAGATAGAGCCCAAGTAGAACCTGAATTAGTTAAAGACACAAGAAGAACCAGTGAAGGAATTTTGCAGCTATTAATTAAATAGAAGGACCTTCCTGAACATGAGAACACCTGGGAGAATATTGATGATATTCGAACTTAGTTCTCACATTTTCACCTTGAGGACAAGGTGTGGCTTGCAGGAGGGGGAAATGATAGGCCTAAGAAATCTTGGGGCCGAACTTACAAGAGGAGAACTAAGAGAGGAGAGCCTGGCCTAGATTAGAGCTCACCAGAGAAGGAAGGGCAGAATGGTAATAACATGGGAAGTAGTGAAGATTAATGATCTGCTGACATTGTCAGGTAGTGGGAGTGCGTTTAAGTTAGATAGGGCAACTTTGTAGGGGGACAATTGAGGATTGTGTGAGGAAGGGGGGAGGGGGGTCTGGTCTCTCGAATACCAGACCAGGAGTGTCTTGTTCTTATTTTTTTTCCTTGCTGTTTTACAGTTCTTTGTGTGAGCCTTTCTACTAGAAGGAGGTGATATCTATCTTATTCTCTCATTTTGCAGTAGTAAAGGGAATACTAGGCTATATTTTGACCCATAACATCATTGTCTTAAGTTGGGTCTATCATATTTTAAAATGGCTTTTGTGAATTTCCTCTTATTTCTCATATATGTTTTGTCTTTAAAATTATTCATTTACTATTATATGAATTATTTCATGTATTCTACAAGATGTTATAGAATTGCATGGCATGTCCTAACTTTTCTTCCCCCCCCCCCCGGGGGGTTTCCTATTATGGTGTTTGAGCATATACTGAGACACCAAACATATGTGGTATACAGCTTCCTGATCATGACATCACATTGGAGGCTGCATGGCCTCAACTATTCATTGACCACAAAGGAAATTACTGGGATGTGCCTGAGTCCATATCCCTTGATTTGTCATCCCTAAAGTCTGATTCTGGACTCCGATATCGTTTTGGGATACATAAAAATGGTGGTTATCCTGAGGCAGTAAATGCCATAGACGGCATCCCACCACTTTCATTGCTGCCTGGGTTGTGCGCTAAGGCTGCCTTTTCTTATGAGAAGATCAAGTACCTCTGGAAAGACAATGAGGTTGCAGAAAGTCTCAAGCAAACAATAGATAAGCCTGCTACTTCTTATCCCTATGATGTGCGTCTTATGGAACCTCAGTCAGCAATATCTGGAATTATTGGTAATTTCTTTGAATTCATGTTATCATAACTCTGAGATGAGAAATTGAATGTTCACCTAGCTATATGCAGCTTTGTTTTGCTTATCAGTATGCTTCATTTGCTTATTTAAAAATTAAAATGTTCTTTAAATATGATTATGCTATTTGTTTTCCCTACTTTTCCAATATTTCCATATTGAGTTCAAAATTTCAAGGTTGCCTAGACTGAATTATTTTGACAAATATCAAAATTTAGAAGATTTATTCAGAGTAATTTTTCTGTAACTTTCTCACTACTGCTGTGATGAGTCTCATCAGAGATTCCGGTTTCAGTATTTACTCTTGTTCCACAGCATGTCTACTTATTTACTGTATACAAAATATTAAAAAGAAAGTGTCCATTTGTAAAGCAGTGTTAGATCACTTATTTACATGTACACTAGTGGACACTTCACAAGTATATGGTTTTCCGTAAGTTTGTTGATTTTGGAAGGATGAAAGAGCAGGCTGCACTTTGGCAGTGTGTTTCTGCAGGGTTGCGGTGTCTCTGGTTTGATGGGATGGGAGTTTCAATGAAATGTCTCTGTCCCATCTTGTGAGAAATAGCTGTATGTCACCCCATGCGGATTCCATAATTTTTCCCTTAATTACATGTTTTACCTTTCTTAACCATTTTTGGTATACTTATTCCCAAGTTCTTGGCGATTATAATATGGCTTTTTTGGGCCCAAGAATAGAGATATGATTATTTTTGTCATGCTAATGGTTTGCAATATACTGTAGGTGGTGCCTGCACTGCCTGGATTTGGGATGAGAGGAGCTATTCAAGCGTTGATTCAAGAGAAGATCTGGAAATGTCAAGACCGAGCATGAGGTCTCCATTGAGCGGCGATTTATTTGGTTCGGTTTGCTATACTTTCCAGCACGGAAAATTTACAAATGATTATGGCGATTTGACAAGGTTAGACGCTCGTCTAGATATTTGCTCAGCTTCAGGCTTTGCCAAGAAGGTTTTGAATGGTATAAGAAGTTATGCTGATGTTAATGAACTTCCATCAGCCTCACCTCGGCTAAATTTAACCTTTCAACAGCAGGTATCTCCTTTTGCATTTGTCTTTTAATCAAGTACTGTTCAGTAATTAGATATCATTTGGCTCAAGCCAAAACCATGACAGAATAGATATCTCCCATAGAATCATCCGCATCCGTTTGTAGATCCAGTAAAATAAAACACCCGGTATTTGTTGTACAAGAGACTAATTTTGTATGATGTGCTCCCTCTGGCATTGGATATAAGAGACATTGAAGAGAGTTGTTTTGGTCCAAAATATGAGAAATTGGTTATGTCTAATGAACTAAGTAATTGTTTCCACTTCTACCCATCATTATTTAGGAGTTTTAATTGCCTATCATTAAATTAAGGGTAGAGATTTAATCATTGAATGGAGGGCATTTCTGGGAAATAATTTTCATTTCCAACAAATTTAAGGAGACAAACTGATTTTAACTACTTTCTTAACACCAGTGAGTTAGTTATATGTCCTTATATTTTAGATCGAAGGGAGTATTTGGTAAGAAACTGAGCTGCAAATCCGTTGGCATTATGGGCTTGGTTAATTTTTTGAATTTGAAAAGTGGGGGCGATGTTCAGCGTTAAAAAATGAGTGCTAGTTAACTGGTATGCTGCTGATAATGACAATTAGTCGATACATGTACTTGAAGAGAGAATGATATTAAAGATGATAACTAAGTATATATTTCGCACCATATCTTTATATTTGTCTTTTATTGATATCTCTCTCTCCAAATGCTTTATTTGCATTCATTATTGTGAATGTAAAACATCTAAATTGGTAGAACTAGAAAACGGTTTCTCTATGTGGCACTACTTTGCGCATATAAATTGTGATGCGGGTCTTAATAGTTAAATACTAATTGACTGAGTATAGTTGTGCTTCAGAAAGTAAAAGTACAATGCGAAGCTCATATTTCAACTTCCTCCTCGTAGGTCGCTGGGCCGATCATCTTCCGGACAGATTCCAGAATATCCCTTGAATCTTTCTCCAAGATGTTTCAGATGGAGGATTATGTTTGCAGCCTGAGCTACTCCTTCAGGATGTTGCAGTCTGGTAAGGTTGTTGCTTGGTATTCTCCAAAGAGGAAAGAAGGAATGGTCGAGTTGCGTCTATTTGAATTCTAAAGCACTTGTAGTCCTCACTGTCAGCTCTTTTTCATGTAAGAATTTTGCAGTTGGAAGTTAGCCCATTTGTTTATTATTTTGCTTATGCACAGCTGTAGTGTTCTAGGTTAAGTTAACATCATTTATTGGTTAAGCCATAATTGGTAATTATTAACTCCCCCAAAAAAGATCCTGTGTAGCTGGATTTACACATGCAGCAAGTTTTATCTCACTAAATGAAATCGGTCACAAATCTTTGAATATATTCTAAGCGGACATATATTATTCTTATGTATATGGCAATTACTAGTATTATGAACTAGACCAAATATCGTCTCCAAACGGGGGGGAGTGCATATATTGTTGTCATGATCTTTAGGACTTAGGTGATTTTGTTTCTCATTTAGCCAATAGAGTACGATAGTACGACTTTAGGAATGGGAGATTACATCCAAGGACCTAAATAGGAGGTTGCAGAATTCAAAAGCCATAATATTGATGACTTGTTATCATGTTCCATTGGAGGTTTTAGGAAGTTGTTGAATTTTATTAGTTAAAGGCTAAGATGGTAAGTTTTCTCAAATTTACTAATTAAAATTTAGTTACAAGTAAAACTAATTATTTTGGTTCTTGAAAATTAATATATTTTTAAGCCGCCTATTCAGATTCTTTATAAATATGCTAGCAAGAACGAATTGAGTGGGTAGAGAGAGATAAAAAGAAACGATACGTACAGTATAATGATACCGTCAACATGATACTGGATTCATAAATGCAAGATGATATTCAATTTAAAATTCTACTGGAATTTATCGTTCAGCAAACTCAACCCATCACAGTTGTTTTTGGCACGTAGCCCATCACAAGGCGATCCATTTGATTGAATTGAATTGAGTCCAACAAATGGATATGAATCAAACAAAATTGCCTCTAATTTTGGGCTAAGGATCATATTGAGCCGAATAGATAGGTCTAAACTACTCTAAATCAAACCAATTATTATCCATCATGTGAAAAAATCAAAATACTAAAATGAAACGAGTCATTAAATCAGTCAAAAGTTTAAGGATTAGTAATCTGACCAATCTAACCATAATCAAAATAATATAATTAAATTAAAATATGTATATAGTTGTATATAATCTTAAAAAGAATGATATTTAAATAAAAAATATGACGAATTACTATTTTCTCACACATCATTTGCAAATAGCGAAAATATAAAATTCGACACAGTTCATTTGTCTGACCAGTTGAATTTCAACATGATAAATTATAGCCATTAAAATTTTGGATCAAAAATCAAAGCAAACCAAATCAAGTTTGGGATTTGTTTTTGATCATCCAGGAGCAGGACGACATTTTGGATAGCATCAATTGTAATGGAACAGTACGGCCATCCATCACATGTTGCCGATAAAATTAAAACGCTTCGTCCTGTTGCTACCATGATTGCTTCATCGTAATGCCATCCATTTCCCTGCTCTCAGCAGCAGCGCACCAAACCATACATTTCGAGTACTTGAAAAATGTACACAGAAAAGTAGAAGTGAAAATACCACAAGAGGTCCATTTTGTACACATTCTTTTTTCAGAACTGCCGCCATTGACTACAAAAAGTAGAATAAAGTTTCAAATCACTTCTGCCATCTAAACTGTACTCTTGAATTATTTTTATATATTTTACCTCATCTTATTTATGCATTTTAATGATAATTTTGAGCTTGATTTATTTGAATTTTCACCTAACCCAGACTATCAAATCTATTTGAATACTTTAAAATGACAAATAAAGTTAAGCTTGTCTGAACAACTTAAATAACACCATTAAAAGATGTGCAAGGCATCGGTTCGTTCCATGCAATACACACTTGCAAAATTTCAGTTGAGTTAACAGACTTCACAAAGCAAGAATCAACTGCGCTAAAAACTGGAAAGTATCCTTTGTTTGATAGAATTTCCTGAGATGTAAAAACATTGAGCCTGCTCAGTGCTGCTTGTCATAGAATCAATGGCCAAACTCTACTCAACCACAGCCAATAAATCACTTGCTTTACAGAAGCAGTGCTTTGCATCAGTCCCCAAATCCACCTGACATCATTACACCACACAAGCATTAATGAGCGTTCATAAATAATGAGAGGAGCAGCCAGGATATTAACATTGTAGTGGATTTGAATCTTTTTAATTTCATATAACGCCTCAAGTAAGAAAAAGGAAAGACAGATAACAAGTGCAAGAGCATGAACCAAAAGACCTCAAGCTGACCCCCAAAGAATTTCCACCATAAGGTCATACCTAGTTGCCTAATTAGGTTCTTTTTATAGTCATTATACTACAACATTCATTTCCAAAAAATGCAACGCTGAACAGACTAGGGCCTTGAAAAAGAAAAGGCCCTGATAATGCTAGCAATTTACAGCCAAAACAAGAGAAATAAATTTTTAAAAAAAAAACGACAGATATAGTTTGGAAGGCTATTGATTATTTCACCAAATATTTGGTGCTCACCTGAGAAATTAGGCATGGTTTGGAAACTACTCTCACCTATTGTTTAATTTTTCATAAATGAATTGCACACTTTATAGGTTCTTGTCGGAAATGGGCCCTAGGAAGAGGCCCACTCATCCTATTAAACCTAGAATCCATCACAGCTATGTATTCTGATTTCCTACCCGTTAGAGAACTAATCCTTAGGCGCTAATTTAGAGATTACAGAATATGTTTCTTTCCTGTTTTACTTCCTCATTAAATCCGGAGGATTTCATGCGATATGCTGAATCACTCCTCTCCCTATATGTATCTCTCAAATCTATGGAATAATACACAGCTTTTCTGTACACAAACTCTCAGTTCTGAATATTACAACTTGTCGTAAGTTCTATTATGCATTTATATCAATATATGGGTTATATTGATGCGATGCCAAGGACCTCAGACGGTGGGCTTTTTAAAAAAAAAAAAAATCAGTAATATTAGTTCCTAATTATTTCTGTTGGGTGTATTCAAACAAAGGTCAGTGGGGAAAAAGGGAAAATGATACTTAAGGTCCCATCATTTATAATTTATATTATGAGCTGTTAAGGATCTCAAAATTCCTCTTGAAGTATAAAATTAAATTACCATTGGTGTTTCATAAAGTTCCTACTCATCCTTTCTAATCTAGTCTTCAAAATGCTACAGAAGTGTGTTCATTCAGCAGTTTGAGGGAAAAAAATTAATTAAAAAAAAAAAACCCTCACCTCATAAGCTGAACAGCTTTACAGCCTAGATTATAATCAGCTTGACCAAATGATCCAAGTTAAAGCCAAGAATAGCTTTAAGGCTTAGATGATAACCAGCTTCATTCAATAATTTAAATGAGTTAAAGCCAAGTAAGCCATGCCACTCACCTCATAAGCATTTATGTCTGAGAATAAAACCTGCAAAATAATATTGATTAGCCACATCAAAAACCATACTCCTACCCAAGATGATCAAAAGACAATAAAATTCCTCCCTTATTCTGAGGAAGAAATCTAAAAATATACAATTGATAACCTTACACAACTTGACAAAGAACTAATGAGGCAGAAATTATGGGGCAAAAAAAAAAAGTGATGGACCCATAACTAATACAAGGCTAAACCACATGGAATCTGCAAGCCGAGAGTGAGAGAGGGAGTAATGCATGTATTGTGGGGTTTAGAGGTCAAAGAAGGCACACAACCAGTGAGTATGTGTGCAGAGCCTGGCCTCTCAAATTTCTAGGAGTACTGTGTTCTTGTATGCTTTTATGTTGCCCAAAAATTAGGTATTCTACTTAGACCTACATTCTGACGATTTGGTTTTTAAATCAAAATGGGAAGCCAATTCAATTGATTGATATGAAGTCTTACATAACCATCCTATCATCAATAACCACCTTATAAACATATAGAGGTATATCATCATAGATAAAATAATCAAGGGCACTTACTTTGGCTAAACTAGCAAGCCTACTAGTGTAAACGTCAACAAAACTTTGAAATGTATGATTTCATAGGAATTATCATTTAAGTGTTGAAGAAGATGCCTCTAAAAGTGAAGACAAAGCACAACAATTTTATCTTTTTTGAATGTAATGGTAGTTTTAGGAAGTAGGTTAACTGTTTTCTTGGTAAATTTCTGTCTCAAGCCAAAATGATCTAAGAAAACTTTGTCTCACTTAAAGAACAAGTTTTTAAAGATTTAGAAATTGAGTTTTTCAAACTTAACATGAAAAAATGATTATTGTGTTACATTCTTCTACTAATGTAATTGTAGGTGTTTACCAATCATTTTTCATTTAGAATTGTTCTTTCTACAATTTGGTTTACCTTTTGGACAACATATTCATTTTATTAGTGTTATTCGTTTACTGTTGATCAAATCCTTAACGTTGATATAGTAGTAAACGAATAACGAGTCAAATTTTTATTCCTCTATTGAGCGTTATTCGTTTATCACGATTGCTTCACAAAGTTACTTTACTTAAATTCTTATCCGTCTGCTCTTAAGTAAACAAATATTGAAGAAGTTTGGAATTAACCTAGTATATCTTTAAGTTAGTTGTGGAGTTGTGTTTTTAAATCTTAGTAAATAACTATTTTAGTGTAAACAATTAGTTGTGTTCTTGCTCCCGTCAAAAAACTTATTCTTTTACTAAACAATATTAATCTGCTCGTGTACTTAAAATTGTGATTCTACAAAACTCGGTAGACATTTGCTTTGCTTTATTCATTTATCATGCTTTCTGGGAAACTTGAAGAACACAATTGTGAGTTTACTAATGGTTAGTCATCCACTATCATACTTCTAAGATGAAACTCAGGTTTAATTTAGCTCGTTATTCGTATACCAGTGAATAAAATAACCATCAAAAACTTTTATGCATGTTAGACTTGTGTAAGAGAATTCATTTACCCCATTATTCATTTACTGCTGCGTTGCTTTTTCTGACAAGTGCAATTAGTGTTTCACCTAATGATTAGCTTTGATGAGTGACAGCTAAATCTTATACCCTAACAATTAGTTGCTCAAAAAACTATAAACAAAAGCACCATTTGAGTCTGAGAAAACAAATTTATGATAATAGAAAAGACAGTAGAAAATATCAAGTGAGAAGCTTAGAGGCTAGACATAGGTTCGAATGGCAGAGCTGAATTAGGATAAATTTGGGTAACCGGCTATCCTTCAATTAGCACATTCTATGGCAAAGTCTTCATTTGAGTAAAAAAAAAAAGTAGGCAGTTCCATCAAAATTAGCAAATGGGTGGACCAATGATGTGATATTATTGATGACACAGATGTTCCCAAAATGAATGGACCAATAATGTGATATTATTATACTACATGAATCATAAGATTGTTTCATAATAATGAAAAGCTAACCTTCTTGCCAGCCTCTACTTCTTGAACCTCTGCACCAGCAGAAATAATCTAAAAATGGATGAAGAAAATTAGCAAATTACGCAGACCATCAAAACAAAATTAATCGAAGAGAACAGTTTTTGGTACTTAGAAGACCAAAGGGTTCCAAGTCTGCTTACTTCTCCCATTAGATATCGCTCAAACTTAACAGCAGACTTTGGCAATAAAACTCCACCAGTAGTTTTCTGCAGCAAAGTACAATCATAAATTAGCCACAGAACATGGCAATGGTTTTCAATATGTCAAATGGGAAAAAATCATATGGAAACTACGGAAACGATATTCAATCCAATTAATGATACCACAAATGATCTAGGAATTCATCCACAGGTACTACATTATTATTGTCAGTCATAATCATCTACACAATATATATGACATTTCCTATTCAGCTGGGGGCAAAAAAAAAAGAGAGATAGGACATTTCCTATTGGATACAACTTCAGTTCATGCAGATACATAACCAAAATAATGTGGATTTCAAAACCTATAGTTATTATTGGGATGGGCCAAAAAGCCCATTTAGATTTACTTCATTATCTAGTTGATTTTTAGTTCCTAAGATCTCGGTGAATATCTTTAGAATTTATCCTGATTGATATCTTTTATTATCTATTTTTAATTCCTTGTATCCGAGCTATCCTGGGATTGATTCTGAGCCTAGGATCGGTGCCTATAAATGTACATATATGTTTCATGAATAAAATAAGTTTTTCTGGGTCAAAACCTCTTCATGGTATCAGAGCAACGGCACCCACGATGATCCAATTTGGCTGCAGGTTGGATCCACCAGGCCAAGGTGGGTCACTCTCATCAGTGCTAAACTCATCAACGACGGTGAATCCGACAACGAACTACCAAGGGTCACCAAAAACCCAAACCTTGGTGATAACCATTCATCGCCTCAATGGCCAAAATTATCTACAATGGGCCAACGGTGTTCGATTGTATGTCACCAGAAAAGGAAAGCTAGATTACCTAACCGTAAAACGAACCAGACCACCAGCGTCAGATGAGAAGAAATACAACTAATGGGAGGCAAAGAACTCAATGGTTCAGTGCTGGCTCGTGAATTCCATGACTACGGAAATAAGCACCGATTTCTCATTATTTCAATATGCCAAAGAAGTCTGGGATGCGGCGCGAGATATGTTTGCCTCCATGAACAATCAAGCCGCAATCCTCGAGATAGAGACAAATCTCGATAATCTCAAGCTCAGTAATCTTACTATCACCAAATACTAGACCAACCTCTTAGTTCTATGGCAGCAGTTGGATTCATATGAGGTCTATGAATGGTCATGCTCTACCGATGCTACTCAGTACACCAAGATAAAGGAGGGAAAAAGAATCTACAAGTTCTTACTTGACCTTAATTTCTCCTTTGATGCAGCTCGTGGACAAATTATGAGTCAAGAACAACTCCCAAGCATTCAAGAGGTATTCTTTATAATAAAACAGGAAGAAGCTAAGCAGAAGCTCTCCTCTCCAAAAATGCCAACCTCAAGTGATGGGGAGAGAGGATAGGAATGGGAGTTTTTTGAGTCAGTTACGACGCCGCTACATGAACCTAAATCCAGTAACCAACCTGTTATTTCAATACATGAACTTGAACCTAGTAACCAACCTGTTATTGCAGATAATCCAACTCCAAATTCTACCCCCAACCTATACCTGAATTAAACACAGAAACAGAAACAGAAACTAAACAGGAAAGGTCAGGAGGAAAGAATGCAGGGCAATGAAGAACTTGAGCATGTCAACACCTCTAGTATTGAGCAACGCCACTATTCAACTCCATCTCTAAATCCTAATGATCTTAGGTGGCCCATTTGCTTGAGTAAAGGGGTAAGAAAGTGCAGTAAGCATCCCATTAGTCATTTTGTGTCTTACGACAAACTGTCTACTACTTTACAAAGCTTTGTTACTAGACTGGATAATAAACAGCTACCAACCAACTTTGATAATGCTATCTGTGATCCCATTTGGAAAAAGGCTATTGAAGAAGCACTTAGTACATTATATAAAAATCAGACACAACAGGTCACCAAGTTGCCGAGTGGTAAGAAGACTGTGGGATGTAAATGAGTCTTTACAAAGAAGTACAATCCGGATGGCTCAATCAACAAATACAAGACTAGGCTAGTGGCAAAAAAGTACTCTCAGACTTATGACATAGACTACCAAGAAACATTTGCTCCTGTTGCTAAGCTCAACACCATTCATATACTCTTGTCATTAGCAACCAACCAAGATTGGCCTCTTCATCAACTCGATGTGAAGAATACCTTCTTAAATGGGGATCTAGAAGAGGAAGTTTATATGAAAATACCTTAAAGACTGCCAGAAAGGGGAAAGCCAGGAATGGCTTGTAGACTTCACAAATCATTTTACGGTTTAAAACAATCACCAAGGGCATGGTTTGAGAAATTCACCAAAGTAATAAAAAGAGTTGGATTTATTCAATGTCAAGCAGACCATACACTGTTTGTCAAACATTCAAGGGGTAAAATGGCCATCTTAATTGTATATGTTGATGATATCATTTTAACATGTGATGACACATTGGAAATAACAAAGCTCAAGAAGTCCCTTGAAAGGAAATTTGAAGTGAAAGATCTAGGAGGATTGAGATACTTCCTAGGCATCGAGGTAGCCCGATCAAAGAAAGGCATAGTAGCCTCTCAAAGAAAGTACACTCTAGATTTGCTTAAAGAAACTAGTATGATGGGTGCAAAACCAACAGACAACCTAATGGAACCAACAAAAAGATTGGACAATAAGGAAGAAGAGGAAGAAATCTCTAGTGACAAGAAAAAAGAAAAAAAGCCAAAACCGAAGAGGGACCAAACACCTGTGGATGTTGAAAGGTATAAACGATTAACAAGTAAACTACTATATCTTCCTCACATTCGCCAAAATATAAGTGATGCGGTAGGAGTAGTAAGCCGTTTCACAAATGAAGCTTTGGAAGAACATATGAATGCTATCTATAATATTACACTATCTCAAAATGACTCCCAGCCGAGGATTGTTCTTTGCCAAAGGAGAATCCGGAGAGATTATTGTATATAGATGTAGACCATGGAGGTTTTCTACCGGACAGAAGGTCAACCTCTGGGTACTGCACTATGGTTTGGGGAAATCTTGTGACTTGGAGGAGCAAGAAGCAAACAGTAGTGTCCAGGAGCAACGCAGAAGCAGAACTAGGAGCAATGGCTCATGGCATGTGTGAAGGTCTCTGGATAATACGTGTTCTAAAGGAATCGAGACTTACTCCAACTAGCTCTATACAACTAAAGAGTGATAGTTTGTCAGCCATTGGGATGGTAAGAAATCCTATTCATCATGAAAGGACAAACCACGTAGAGATCGACAAACATTTTATCAAAGACAAGGAAGACTCAGGAATCATTGAGATTTCCCATGTGCCTTCTCACTGTCAAGTGGAAGATCTATTTACCAAAGCATTGCCAAGACCGTTGTTCAAAGAATTCAGAGGCAAGTTGAGAATGATAGACATCTACTCGCCAACTTGAGGGGGAGTATCGGGATGGGCCAAAAAGCTCATTTAGTTTTACTTCATTATCCAGTTGATTTTCAATTCCTAAGATCTCGATGAATATCTTTAGAATTTATCCTGATTGATATCTTTTATTATCTGTTCTTGATTCCTTGTATCCGAGCTATCCTAGGATTGATTCTAAGCCTAGGCTCGGTGCCTATAAATGGACAGATATGTTTCATGAATAAAATAAGTTTTTCTGGGTTAAAACCTCTTCAGTTATTCTATCATGAATTCTAAATATAGCCTAAGATCTAAAATCACAAAGTTTCTCATTAGGTTGCAAAATGTTGGGCCTAACTTGTCATTTTATAACTACATTGTCAAATTATAAAACATTTCATAATCCACTTAAGCTACTTAATCCTATAATATTTATAATACATCTAGAATAGAATGTATTATTCAGCATGTATAATGAGATGTACATACAAGGGGGAAGAATCAAATGGAAAGAAAAATTCCAGGAACATTACCTACAAGAAACTCTTCACCATTGTCAAAGTTTTTTAAAAAAATAAAAATAAAAATGGAACCTTTATCCCAGTGCACGACTTGAAAGGACAGGCTTTGGAAGAGGATGGTAAGAAATAATCATAATACTAGCATTAAATTAGTATAAAAGAAAGTGGAGAAAAGCAAAACCAATTGCGCTGATCAAATGATTAAGATCATTCAAACAAAAGAAACATATAATAACTGCATTTGTGTATAGCTGTATGAATCTGAAAAGAGAAATCTGTGAACTCCCACATTCATTTTGTTGATTAATCCCATTCAAAAGTTATAAATTACAACAAGTAAGGTTTACCTTCAAGGCAAAATATAACAGGTTGAAAGCAACTTGAATGGGAGCAAAACCATCAAATGAAGCACCACTCCAATATTCGGACTTCGGCAATAAATTTTTATGACTAATTTCTATGTATTGATCTTGAAACTTGCACGTCAAACTATCAATCGAAAAGACTAAACAATCATCCATAACAACATCAAAGTAATGCACCAAATACTAAGATAAGTCAATGTCTTACTTGCGCAAGCTCATCCAAACGAATAAGAACTCTGTCAGCCTGCGGAACCACCTGAAACCCACATTCATAATGCACAGTCAACAGCAAATTGACATTCAAACATGAACTACGAACCAAAATGTTACAGGTGTAGGCACACAACGAGCAAAATAACCAAAAATTACATAAAAACCTTTGCGGGTTCCCATTTCTTCACAACTGCATTAACCCTCAACGAGTTCTTCCGGAAACCTTCAAAATTAAACCCAAAAATGAACAGAGGTTAGCTTTGGAAGGCGAAGAATTCGAAGAGCGGAAGTGTAAGGAAGACATAGCCACAAGTACCTGCAAGTCTGCGGTCAGAGGAAGAGAAGGTAGCCTTAGGCGGGGAAAGAAAAGATTTTGGGAAGGCGAGGATGGAGGAGGCCATGGATAAGAAGCGAGAGTAAGAGACAGACAACGAGACCGCGATGGGGGCCAAGGAACTTGTCCCAAGGATTAAACCCTTTTCCGTACCCGATGTTGCCGTTCCAGAGAGTTCGACGCTAATTAGAATCGCTAATTAGCAATCTTTAAATTTTTACTTCATTTTATGACTCATCGGAGAGAGAAGTTGGGAAGAAAATTATATTAAGTAATTTTGATTTGAGGTCAAACTTGATTAGAGGGTGTTTGGGTAAAAACTAAATCATAATTTTAAAAATATTTTTACAGTATACGAAATAAATATGTGGAAGAGATTGTCTCGTTTTACAGAAAAGTGCTTTTTAAAAGTACTTATTAGTATTGCCAAACACCCCCTAAAACATTCTAGGAGAAAAAAGTAAATAGCATTTTAAGGTGATTAAAATTTTAAAACTGCATATTATATACACATATATAGAGAGAGAGATGCAAGAGATAGCTATAAGCGTGATAGTTTATTTTCATGTTGATAATTAATAAATTTTTAGAAAAATTGCTTAAAAGTCTTCCACTAAAAAACACAAATCTATATGAAATTTGTTTAAGGACCTGAATGCAACATAGTAAATGCAATTAACTATGCACAATCTACCTTTAACTTGGCAAAATGTAATAACGGTTTTTTTAAATCCCAATCAATTAAGTAAACACTTTATTTTTGAATCATTAACCATGATAAAAAATTATAGAACTTAATTAATTTTGCGAGACAAACTATCATGATTAAAAGAAGTGAATGTATTTCATAAATGCCTATATATAAGATAGAAAAGAACAAAATCAAAATCACTTGGAAGTTATTATGAATATTAAAGCGTTACTAAATCACTTCATAAGCAAAACCATGTTAGAAAATGGCACAACTCATCTAACATGGTTGTTTAAAAGCAACCCCAAATTAACAATAATTAATCACCACCAACAAGAATTTGGCCCTTGGACTTACTGAAGCATAGGATATAAATCCGATCATAAGCCCATCACACAAATACTTTTTGACTCATACTTTTCATTTGACTTTCCAAGATATCATGGATGGAGCTTCGAAAGTCAAATCTAACATCCAAGTCATAAGAAAAATCACATGCAATAATCTTAAGTCTTCTACCTTCTACTAGCAAACTAAACCTAGAATAGTTAATCAAAAGTATTCTAAAAAAACAAGTTAAGAATGAGCCTTATGCAGTAATATGTATTAATTCATCACATGACAAAAGAAAGGAAGCTATATAAAGATTAGAGGTCTAATCAGGCCTATGAAGCCTTCTCAAAGAACCTACTATAGAGCGATCACTTGAAAAATATTAAAAACCATGGGGTGAGAGAAATGTCTCAATAACTAATATTCAAACTCATTATACAAATCAACATGTGCTCGATAGGTGTCCGTTAGAGAGGATGTTCACCTAAAAGGGGAGTGGATTGGATGATAATGAAAATTTTAAAACTTTGGTTAAGGAAAGCAAATTGAAACAGAGATAGAATCAAAGCAATATCATCGAAGAATAGAGAAAAACACAATGATTTATGTTAGTTTGGTCTATCACTTGACCTACTTTAGTTCTCAAAGCACCTATGAGATTTCAACTATATCTTCCAAAATTCAATGAGCTCTTAGCACCTTAGTACAGTAATAGCAAATCAGAGTTTCTCAAATACTCTCTCTTACTACCCATAAGGTTGTAACCAACTGAAGATCCCACAACCTTAAGTAACTCAGAGATTAAGTGTATGAAAATTTTTAAAGCTCTCTCTCAAAAAGGTTAATAAATAATCACTAAAGGTCATGGTAAATTGCTTAGAATATGTTAGATATGATGATTAGTTTTGATGATATCAAATAATAAAGCAAAAAGTTTGCATAAATTATTTATCTCATACTTTGACTAACTATTGTACTTAATATCTTGTATAGTTCCCTCAAAAAAAAAGGAGTTATTATGTTGAACTTTGAGTTATAGAGAATGATCAAGAGGAAGAAGAAGAAGAGAGATTAAGAAAAGAAGAACTAGCAAGATCAAATGGAAATATCAAAATTTAAATTCATAAATTTGATATCGGAGGTTACTATACTCAATTAGAAGTTTGAATGGCTCAATCAGAAGGTAAAATACACAAACTGGAAGTTATATCATCATATATTAAGTCACCCTTCATATAAATATTGAAAATAAGCTTCAAAGATGATTTTCATGGGCATTAATCGATAAAGAACTCGAGTAGAAACCTTATCGAGTTTATTACCAAGTAAACATATACCCTGTTACACTCTGTTCTTCGTTTAGCTCTGACACATGTTCGGTATTTCTATAATATCTCTTAAACCACAAATCCGTTTGAGGGGAAACTTAATTCATATGAAACTAGACTCAGAACATGGTTCATGGACACCAAGATCAACTTCAAAGAGTTTCATATAAGAGAGATATGTTGTTCGAAACATTACGGTTAGGTTTAACGCCTCTATTCCAACCTTCAGTCACTGTGACAAAGATAACTTTGCTACTACAATGAATTTTGGGGTGGTTCTTATTGCATTAGAAAGTAGACTCAAAGAGCTTTTTGGGAATAGGTCATTTGCAAAATTAGGAGTTGAATTGGAAGATTCATGATCACTCAAAGTTGACCTTCGTTTTGCTTGAATCAGAGTTCGAGTTTATTGAGGTAAAGACCAAAAGTTCTACATTGATCGATTAAGCTCTTGAGCAACATGCTACTCAAACATGTTATTGAGTAAAAACACTAGAAGAAATGAGGAAATGAAAAGCCTGTTGGAAATTGTGCCCTAGGGGCTAATCATTGTGTTATGAATATTGTTGATTTATGAATTTCGTAATTATGTTATCATATTATTTGCATGTTTACTATGATGACTATCCTTGGATAACTCATGATTTATCCTAAATGTCCCTGGTCGGTCATCTATGTGGGAGCAGAGATGAAATAAGACCAGTATGACTTTGAAGATATATAGAGATATAAATCAAAGTCATAGGCACACGTAAGAGTACAAGGTGTTGGACCGACCAGCTATGAGAGAGCTGCATGGGTTAAGTCATAAGCTTCTCTCATATACAAACCATGTCACTGTGCCCTTTGACCTGAGATCATCATGGATTCCTCCATGAGAAATGCTCAGCTTTGACCTCGTCAAAAGTCACTTTTGACCGAGTGATCATAAAGACTATATTCAGGCTTAGTGGTTTTTCATGCGGAGGGATGTGAATGGTCAAGATGGAATTTGTCCCTCACATTCGTAGAGAAATATTACTGGGCCCCTCGATGAGTGAGTCTGAGAAATGTATGGCCATACTATAATGAAAGGTAGTTTCGTTTCTATACTCAACTACTCAGGGATCGAGAAAGTAACGGTCATGAATAGGAGGATGACATTCTCCATGCCTCATCCATGACCAAAATGTCGTGTGACAAAAGGGACGTGATATGGTTGTATGAAAGGTTACATCGTTCAATGATCCTCATATGATTTGGGTAGTCGTGATGTCTTGCTAGAGACCGCTTACGACTTGTGAGTCATTATAGTTAATGGCCCACTGCCAACTTCATATGGGCCTACAGGGTCGCACACAAAATAGCCCAACACGAGCTATGATGTCCAGATTCGTTGAATCTAAGATATGTCCAGATTCAATGAATAATATAGGGTGGACGTATATATATATATATATTCGTATATATATACATATTATATAAATATAAGAGATATTAATTGTTAGATTTAATTTATAAGGATAAATTAGATCTATATCAATTTTAAAATTGCTAAGATATAATATAATATCTCAAATTTGATTTATGAGAATAAATCAAATATAATTCCGTCATATCTTTATTTTGAATTAAATAAATAGGTGAATTAAATCTGTGGGACGGATTTAATATAAAACATATTTATTTAATTGTTTTCTTATCTGATTAGGCAATATTTGATATTGTATTAATTTCGGAATTAATTTAGGATTAATTTCGAAATTCAATCTCCTTCATAATACCTATAGCATCCTATATATTTGATATTAAGAGCTAGGGTTTTGTGAGTGAGAGTGAAAAAAAACTTGCAGATAAGAGACGGCCAAAAATAGAGAAGGGAGGACGGATTCTTCGAACATAAACCCTAGAAGGACAAGAGGCACTAGCACGTCATTCGTGATTGGAACGCTGTTCGTGTGGATACCAGTAGAGGAAGTCGATCTGAGTTGTCGACTTCGAGCGATAAAAGAGGCGAGCAGAGGCATCCTGAACGGCGGAATCCCTGAGCCACTAAGAAATCGAACACTGAAGGTAATACTTCTTACTACTTGACTTAAACACAATCGGTAGATCCGGGCAAGGGATTGAAAATTTTAAATTTATTTTCCGTTGCGCGTCTTTCAATCCCCTTCAAAGCCATTATCAGTTGTTACTCGAGCCAGTTATCGAGTAAACTAATGTTTGAGTTGATGATCAAGCAACAAGAAAAAAGCCTTGGAATTTCACTTGGGATTATCGAGAATGTTAGCAAGAAGAATAGACTTTAGAAACTTAAACCTTTATCGAGTATGATATCGAGCATAAAGAAACTTGATTATGTTATCGAGCAGTGGAGTTTGATCTTTAAAGAACTCAACTCGATAACATTATTGAGTACACATGTACTCAAGGTCATTATCGAGTAACAAGAGAAGATTTTCAGAAGAGGAAAACTGAAATCGAGAACTTCATCAAGCAACTACATACTTGATCACTTTATCGAGTTCTTGGTACTATTTCTTCAATTCTTCTCTTTTATCTTCATATGTATTATTAAGATGCTCAAGCTATAATCTATCTTTGAAAATCTGAAAGCACAAGTAATCAATAACATTACCGATTAAAGGTTAATCAATAAAGTTATCGAGCTACTGAGGAATATTTTATTTTCTACATCTGAAACTTTATTGATAACATTATTAATTATTAATCGATTGTTTAATCAATCATCAACTTATTTTTGTGCATAACTATCACAATTGCTTTTTAGATCATCTATTCGATCAATCTTTT